TTTTCCTAACCAGCTAATTGTGAATCCATTTAACCCATAATGAATTGGGAAAAGATACCAGTCTCCAAATTAGCTTTAGACAAAGCACATTATTCATTTCTTTTAAAGACCTCAAACCCAAGCCACCTTCCTTCTTTGGCGTACATATCTCCTGCCATCCCACTTTCGCTTTGCTTGTTTTCAGATCAGAGCCAGACCATAGGAAAGCCGAGCATAAACTTTCAATTTCTTTTAGACAGCTACTCGGAAGTCGGAATGCAGCTAGCCAGAAATTAGTAAGACTCATGATAACTGAGCTGATCAATTGTAATCTTCCTGCATAAGATAAAAACCTCCCTGTCCAAGATCTCATTCTTTTTCTCACTTTCTCAACAAGAGGCCGATAGTCATTTATTGTCACTCTCTTAGTTAAAAGAAGGAGGCCTAAATAACGCACTGTTAAATTACCAGAAGCAAAGGGAAAATGTGTAAGAATATCCACTTCTTGTGCTTCTGTAATGCCCGCAATATAGAGTGTAGATTTCTCCAAGCTCAGCTGTAACCCTGATATTGCTGCGAACTCAGTGAAAACAGTAAGAATACCTTCAATAGATCTCTTTGTTCCATCTGTAAAAACAAGGAGATCGTCCGCAAAACACAAATGTGTCAGTAGGATATTCTGGCATTTTGGATGATAACCTATGTCTTTCCTCACAGCAGCCGCGTCAAGAATTTGAGACAGCACATTCATGCATATAACAAAAAAGTATGGAGATATAGCACATCCTTGCCGAAGCCCTCTTTTACTTTGAAAGAAACCAGAAAGCTCCCCATTAACCTGCACTGAGAAAGACGGAGTACAAATGCACAGCTCGATCCAATGGATAAACTGCTCAAGCATGTGCATAGCTCTTAAAGTATTCAGCAGGAAGTTCCAATCAACTGAATCAAAATCCTTCGCTAAGTCAATTTTCATCGCACATCTTGGAGAGATATCCTCCATGTGATAGTCTTTTACTATCTCTGTGGCAAGCAACAGATTTTCCACTAACAATCTATCTTTGACAAAACCAGATTGATTATAAGATATGCAGTGCGGCAAAGTACCTTTTAATCTATTAGCGATGATCTTGGAAATCACCTAGTATAGCACATTGCAGCAGGAAATGGGTCTGTAGTCTTTCATCTCTGCTGCATTCTCCTTCTTGGGGATTAAAGAAAGAATAGTAGCATTTAGCCCCTTAGGTAAGAACCCCTTACTGAAGAAAGAATGAACTGCACTAGTGAGATTCTTTCCAATGATGCTCCAAGAGGCCTTAAAGAATTCTGTGGTAAAGCCATCAGGTCCAGGACATTTATTACTCGGCATCTGAAATAAAACATCTCTAATTTCCTTATCCCTCACTTGCTTAATGAGCATGATTTTTTCCTCCTCAGAACAGCGAAACTTGATTAGTTCTTCCAATTCCTCCACAGTTCTATTCTAAATACCAGGTGGCTTACGAGAAAGAAATTCGTGAAAAAATCTTTCTGCTTCAAACTTAATCTCCTCTTGTGATGAAACCACAACACCTGAGGAACATTTTATCTCACGGATCTTTTTCTTTCTCATACACGCAGCATTGTGAAACATCTTATTATTCCAATCGCCAACCTGTAGCCAATGAACCTTTGATCTCTTCTTCAGGACCTTTTCTTCAATATCTGAAATTCTTTGCCACCTCTGATTTGATAGAATCTCTTCTTGAATGTGTTCTTGCGTTGGAGTATTTAGAGTCATGTCTTGCTTCAAACACAAATCATGGTAAGCTTCTTTCACCTTCTTTGAATGCTTTCCCAATTTCTCCTTACTTAGAGATCCGATCAAAGGTTTCAGAGCCTTAAGATTGAGAAACGAAGTAGAGCTGATGTTGGTTGAAAAAGAAGCTGGACATCTTTCCAGTAATCTTCCATCATCTGAACAAATTCTGGCATTTTGGAGACTGCATTTGTGAACTTAAACGGCTTCTTCTTACCTATTGCTTCAGTTTCCAAATGAAAACGACATCTGAGATTATCCAAAACTCCTCCAGCCTCAAAAATACTATAAGCCTGTGAATGCTGGTGTAGCCACACTTCATTAACCAAGAGACGATCCAAATTTTTACAGATTATTCCCTCATCTCTTTTATTACACCATGTGAATTTTGGGCCTTGATAACCCATGTCAGTAAGTCTGCAATGATTTACCACCTGCTCAAAATCTCTCATTCCCATGTAACCACATCAGAATTTTGATAGTTTGAGTGCTCATCCCTCTGAAGAATCTCATTAAAATCACCCATGAGAATCCATTGTTTCTGTCTAAAAATTGGTGAGTTTTGGTGAGAAATAATATCTGCCCAAAGATCTTTTCTAGCTTCTGCAGTATTTTCTGCGTAGATGAAAGAAAAAAAGAACTCCACTGTATCGCCTTCCATAAGAACTGAAACGGTGATGATTTGATCAGATTTAAACATTGGTGTCACTCTAACTTGTGAACTCCATATCACCCATATCCTGCCTTTCCTGCTGAAATCATAGTTATTTACAAAAGACCAGTCTCCAAAGACCGTAGAAACAATTTGAGCTGCTTTACTTTCCTTTACTCTCGTCTCAATCAGACAGCCAAACTGCAAAGACTTCATATTTACCCAGTTACGGACAACACTTTGTTTTGAAAACTTGTTAAATCCTCGAACGTTCCAAAAGAAACCCGTCATTGAGGAAATTGCCAAGTATCAAACCTGCCCCGGTTTCCCTGAGCCATCTTCTTGTTTTTCCTTACTACCTCAGGAACAAACTTATAATTTGTTTTTGAGATTCTCGGAAGAGAAATTCTCATGCGCGTTTCCTCTTGTTTTTTATGCTTTTCTTCATTCTTTTCTTTCATATTCGTAACTTCCTTTCCTTTTGGACTTTCCTCCCCTTCTTTCTCATCCTCCTTAGACTCTATCACTTGCTTAGATATCTCTTCTTCTTCAGTATTTTTTAGTCCCTCTATCAAAACTCCATTATTCTCATCCAAATTCATAAGAATAGAATATCTTGATGGAGTAGCTATACGAACTTGACCATATATAAGAGCTGTTTTATAACTGTTACTTCCTTTTCCTGGAGATACTTGAGCCTCATTCTCAGTCACTTCACCTTCCTCTATCTCCTTTCTTATCTCCTTCTTCTCCTTCATTTTTGGAGGGGTCTTTTCCTCACATGATTTTCCCTCCATAACTTCCTCATTAGACCCATTTGTACTCTCCATAATATTTTTTGGAGTAGCTACTGGTTCTACTCTTATCTCATTCTTCTCTGTCACCTTTTGAGGGGATTTATCCTCATATGATTCCTTCTCCTTGACTTCCCCGTTTGAACCATTTGTACTCTCCAGGGTATTTTTTGGGGTAGCAACTAGTTTGGCATCTTCTTTATTTGTTTTCTTCTCAATGTACCTCTTAGTAGGACTTGCTTCTGTCTTCTTATGTCCTGCATCTGCTACTTTCTATTGAGTTCCTTCCTTATTGTTTATAACACAAGCAGTTTCACAATGCCCCCACTTCTCACATGTATTGCATCTCAAGGGAAGCAAAGGGTATATGAATTCAACAGTTGTTGATTTACCATTCTTAGAGAAATTGATCTTTCGCGAAAGTTCCTTCGAAAGATCAGCGTTGACAAAAAACTTTGCTAACTTGAAGTTCGAGCAAGATATTGTCTCCGGATGGGAATCCCACTGCACTTGTGATAAACTCAAACCCTCCCACGAGAACATGTTCATTGGAACATTTTTTCAAATGAACCCAAAGCAGAATGGATTTAACTTCTGGTTTCTCATCGACTTCCTCCGGTATCCACTTAGTAACCACTAAAGGAATATTTCCTATGTTCCACATCCCTCTTCTGAGTATTCGACCCCTCATGTTTGGATTCACGATCTTAAACTTCATCGTTGTGGCATCAATCACCTGAACATCTATCATTGGTGACTTATCATCTGACCATAATTTGTTGACGATGGCATGAACCCGAGCAATGTGAAGAGCAATTGACCGGAATATACCAATCAAAAAGTCATCCCATAATGGATTGGTATTCTCTACCACTTCGTCAGGTATTTCCACCATTTTTCCCCTTCCAAATAAGAGATTTGAACATCATATTTTTTCAAAACCTTTTTTTCTAGAGCAATATCTACCCAAGACATACCTTTCTTCGTATCATCATCTTTTACCAAAACCTTCTATTTATTTTGAACTGAGTCTTTCAGATTCATATCTTTGTCTTCATCTTCCGTAACCTCCTTAGATGTTAGATCCGTTCCAGTAGAGTTCGGATCCACGTTGTTCCTTTGATCCGATTCTCCAAGAGCCAGATCCTTCAATTTTCCTGATTCAGAAACCTGAGACCCAAAACTCGTTTGGATAGTTTGATCTGATCCATGCATAGTCTCCGATGACCTCTTATTCAACGCCGGAAAGCCACATAAATCCGACGGCTCCACCGTATTCATAGCTTTATCGAGCAAAACCCCCAATGATCTAATGTTTCTCAGGTTCCAAAAAATTATTCAACAGTTGTTATGTGGTTAGTTACACATCTATAGAAATGTGAGGAGATACGATCTTCTGTCTCACGCAACAAATTAGAGTTTGGTACCCGACTTTATTAAAAAATATATATATATATCCGAATGGGAACTAAGTTTCTACTATAGCAGTAGAAGAAAGAAACGTAGTGTATTATCATGGATTTGGTATTGACCTGATTAGATTTTTCAAATTCTCAAAACCCAGACGTTCTTTGATTTGAGGCTCCAGAGAACCAATGTTTTGGTATAACGTGCACAATTCTGAGGCTGGACTTTTTATAAATATGAAAAAATGTTAAACATACGTATATTTGGTGGAAAAAGAAGTAATATTGAACTAATGATGTAGTCTCAAAGGATTCCAATGAATTGCATGATTTGCTTGTAGTAGAAACAAAGCTTGCAGTGAGTGTCCATGTCATTGACATGTCAGCTTTCCAGTGACTCGAGTCTCATTATGTTCCTTTGGTAACATGATGTTGACCCGACGGAGCGACTTCTTGATGCGACTCCACGGCTTATTGATTCTGTTTATGTTTGTTTTCCATTCCAGAAAATCTAGATATTTCTTGCCTTCATACATATGCCCTAAGAACAACATCAACACACCATAAATTACACTTCCGGAGACGTACACACCGTCTGCTGATTTGTGTAGATGTAGTAGGCCATCATTAGGGTTGTCCAAATATAAAAACTGCATGATCCCTTCAATGTAGTGAGCCTTGATGTTGTATTGTGCAAGGCACTTATCAATTACAGTAGAGCACTCACCGCCTACACAGAAAAAGTTTGAGAAGGGTTCAAAACCATTCCAACAAACAAACAATACGAATTCAGAAAACTCTCTATAATCTTAAATGAAATCAATACCTCCACTCACCCTAGGTTATTTTCAAGCTGTTTGCAAAAAGAAACTGCCTGGCTGCGAAAATACTCAATGTCAGTCACATCAATGCAGTCAAATACCATAGAGTTAGGCGATGAATCATATAGATAACTTCAGACAATAGTTCAGGTTTGCAAAATAATGTGATTAGGATAAAGTAGATACTTATCCAGTTTGATGCTCGACATGACATAATTCTTGACTTCAGGAGGATAAAGGCGATGGAAATGACGACTCTCCTCACCTCGTCTCTCTTTCTCCATTGAGAATCACAGGTTCATCCACTTTAATCTTGTCTTGATCCTGGTCGAATGATTGTGATACCGATGATTTAGAGTTGTGTTATGTCTTAATTAGGGTTTGTAATTCCTATTCCGGATTTCATCTATCTCTTTGTAAAGATATGAATCTATGGTTTATTTGAGAGAGTTCTGCTTGCTGTATAAAATCTTTGCAATTGAGACATCATGGATATGTTTGATTGCAAGTTCTAATCTTGTTGTTGTTTTCTCTGGTGTAGAAGAAATTGAGATGTCAACTCCAGCAAGGAAGAGGCTTATGAGGGATTTCAGGAGGTTGCAGCAAGATCCTCCTACTGGTATCAGTGGTGCTCCTCAAGACAACAACATCTTGCTCTATAACGATGTCATCTTCGGGTTAAAAAGAAACACTTGCTTTCGTTTATGGTAAAACCTATGTGTTCTGTTTATTATTAGTATCTTTTAGTTTAGGTAAACCATCAGATTCAGTAGAACCCAGGCTTCATTTTGGAAAGATAAAGATAATAAAGGTCTCGACTTTCTAGGTCTTGTTTTTGTGATTCTTGTCCCTGATTGAAACCCATCTCTGTTTCACCTGAACCTCTGTTTTTGTTTGGATAAAGTATTGAGCTTTGTGTCCTCTCTTTGTGATCTCTTTTGGGGAATAAGGATGAACTTTGGGTTTCTAATTAGGATGCGTGTTAGATATCGTCCTTCTGATTCAGTGAGATCATACCATGAATTGGATTTTGTATTATCACTGAAGATGATCATACCATGACTTAGAGAAGAATAAGAAGAAGCCGATGAAGATTGTTTGCTTCATTTGTAGCAGTTAAGGCGTGGAAGAAGCATAGGAACTCATGGAAGAGATTTCACCAGCAGTTGCACTAACTTTGAGTTTAGCCAACAATCTGTGTGACTCAGGAATCTTATCTACTTTGGATATCACCGACCTGGAGAATGTTACTCATGTAGTTGACATGTTGTGCGATGATAAAATTCAAAGTTATAGAAATAGAGAGGTTGAATATATGATGGAAGAAGATGTTTGAGAAGAATAGAAGAGAAGACTTTATCCCAAGCTAGAAGCTTGTCTTCTGAATTTTGTTTGTGACATCAAAAGAAGTCACAAGACGTTCATTCAACATGTGATCACCACACACGGTCACTAGATTTGTTGTATATAATTTTTGTACATGCAAGTCACGAGTATTGTCTATATGTTAGATACATGTTGGTTTTTGTTCTTCTCTCGTTCTCTATATAAAGTTGTGATTCACCAAACATTTTATTCACAAAGTCTCATTTTCTCGTTCTCACCAAACAAGTTTCATTCTCTCCTTCTCACAAAACAAGTTTCATTATATCCTTCTCACAAAGTAATCTAAAGCACTCTCCTTGATCACAAATATTATTCACAAAAGAATCAAAAACATTTTCTACATTTTCTTCACTTATATGGATGGCATCATTTTCTTCTCATAACACGTTTGAGCGAGTAGATGATGAAAATTTAGAAAGATGATTTGGTTGAACATATATGGCATAAATTTGAACGTAATGGAGACAACTATTGAGTTCGGATTTTTTTTTTCAAATTATTCTCGATTATTGTACTAATCTTTTTTTTTTTAAAACTATGTTTTAAATGTTATTTTTCAATATATTTATTTAATAAATATTTTTTTTAATAACCGTTAATTAAGAAACTCTTATTGAACCGTTCAAAATGGGAGTTTCTTAAGTAGAGTTTTTTATTCCACTTAAGTACATTTAAAGTATTAAATAATTATTAAGAAACCCACTTAAGGATCAAGGGATAAACATGCTCTAAAGTATGTTTTTCTTTTGTTACTGTCTAAAGTATTTTCTTGAAAGCTACAAAGTGACTATTGTTCTCTCTCTCTCTTAGCTATAACTAGTTACCGTTATAAGTTACACTACCTTATCAAAAACGTGTTTGTTGATTTCTTTCTTTGACAATTTTGTTGGCTTTTACTAGAAACTCTACAATAGTAAATGCTGTTAAATGGCGGTGAAGATGAGGAAGCTGGCACTATAATGGGACAAGCAAACCAGACATAGAGAATTGATGAGATTTGGAGTAACTTAGAGCAAAAAAGTCTTATGATCTATATACTCTAATTATAGTAGTTGCAAGTAATTAATTGGTTGTCTATCATATGGCATTTTTTTTTTTTGAATGAATGTCTATCATGGAATTAACATAGACTTCTTTATTCAACTAGTCATTGCTAAGACAATAATAAAATTCAGAACTGTTCCCATCAGAACTGTGATGTTGCAACCTGATTACAATATGATGCGTCAAGTGCTCTTTCCCCATGTTAATGATTTTTGGTTTTGACATTTCAGATTGTTGACCTAAAGACAGGTGATGAGAAACTTATAGCAGTTTCTGTGGATGATGGGGTTCGACCTAGCACAACCCTTTCCGGCCTTGCGAAGCTAAAGCTCGTGTTTAAGAAAAACGATCCACAACTGCTGGTACAATATTTTACATCTCTGAAAGTACAATATACATTACACACATATCAGTGGAAATAACACAAACCTGAATATTTTGGTCTATGGCTAAAGTCTTGGTTCCATGAGGTTATCCTAGAGTCATCCTTTTTGTGGAGTTGGTTTGGTCATGTATAAAAATTAAGTTTATCACGGAAATGCAAATGTATTCAGTAGCCTTTGTATAAATAATAGCTTGTCATGAATGTATATTCAAGCCTTTATTCTTCTTTCTCATGCTCATCCTTTAATAATAATTTTTTTAATAATCCTTAATTGAAAGACTAGTATTAGAGCATGATTATCTCTAGCACCTTTAATGGGACTCTTACTCATTTTTTAGTAATAAATGTGTCTCAAGAACTTTACTTAAGAGATCTCTAAATTTTTGTCCTCCAATGCAAATATCTTATTTAGAGGGTCTTAAAAAACATGTTCTATTTTGGTTAGCTACAAACTACATAATTGGCATCAACACAAGTCATTACAACTAATCAAAACCTGAGGAACAAACTAAGCAAAAACTTATAACCAGTTTGCAATGAAACTCAGCCCATGAACATTTCAACAAGATAAAACAAAAACATACAAATGGATTACAACTTCTTCTAACAGGTGATTGAAACTTTTACAGAACAGAAGCTCACCTGTCTTTTGGAGAGAAACATTCTACAGCTAGTGCGCACTTCACTTTCCACGCTCTCACCTGAATCATTATTAGCAACCATTGATTTCTCAAGCTTCCATTTCGCACTTCACTTTCCACTCTCTCACCTAATCATTATCAGCAACCGTTGACTTCTCAAGCTTCTATTTCGCCTAAAACACAAAGTATCTGAATTCAGTCACACAGTCTCATAACATTTCATGATCATCACTAACTTAATTTCTCAAACAAAAAAAATAATCAACAAGATGACCGATTTGATAGTACCAAGTTGATGAAATGATCACATTCCTCATCTGTTAGAGGTCCCTTGTACAAAAACGCCCTGCAGAAACCATCACATACTTATTATATCATCAAAACAATCAAAACCCAAAGTTCTTCTTCTTTTTTTTTCAAGCAAAAGCAACAAACAAACAAACCCTAGAAGTCCAAGAGAGCTGAGTGACACAACTTGGATCAATAACTAGAGACAAACCACTCGTCTTCTGCTTTATCACAGTCCCTTCTCTGCCCAACCAATTAAAAAAAAAAACAAAGCTTTATCAGTCAAACCAATGCGAGAGAACATCATTCTGAGAGAGAGAGAGAGAGAGACAACGTTATTACTACTACTCCAGAATCTGATGGAAGCAGACGAAATTAGAGGGAAAATCATGATAAGATAAAGTGAAAAAACGAAAAAAATTTGAGAATCCATTTTTCGTGAGAAAAGAAAAGAGAAGACTTTTTTTGGTGGCGAAGACCAGACATTTGTTAATAATGAATTTTATATTCTTTTCAATTCTCACTTCCTCAACTATATTATTGTTTTTACACCATACATATCTCTCTACGTTCCAATCAAACGAGTAAAAGTAACAAAATCAGAATACATGGTGAACCAATCATCAACAATGTACCTGATCGCCAACTATATGAGAATCTAGAAATTCTTATCAATCTGAATCAAAAGAATTAAACTTGGAAGCAAATGCAGAATCAAAAGAGAGGGAGGAGCACAGAGGAGCCAGTGCTGGGGTAGTTCCTTTTGTTGCCGTCGGGAATCTACGGAAACTCCTTGACGATTCGATGATTGACGAAATCGAACATGATCGGTTTCCGGTTGGCGAAGATGAATAAATTTCCATTGGGAAGAAGATGAATAAACGGATAAGGATTGCTCTCGAGTTCATCGAGAGAGAGACGTCGAGAGAGAGTTGTGAGAGAGAGACACGTGTTACTAAAAAAACATTTCTTCCATTGCTTAATTAGGATCCGTTGCTTAGCTTATTTGCTTTTTTTTTTTTAATTACTAAATAGTAAATACACTAAAAATTTCCTTAAGAGTCCTGCGTTAAAGATGTTCTTAGACCACAAATTGTTGGTGTCTCTTAACTAAGTTTTTTAACTAACATTTCATACTTAAAAAATCATTAAAAATTCTAATGGGGTTTTAGGGTTAATGATAGCTCTTTAAGCACACATCCACTCAAAGAGGGAATCATGCAAGCTCAGTATATACTGAACCACGACGAAAATTACTAGCAAGCATGAACAGTATATGCCTCTAACTAAAAGGCCCATCTAAAGCCCAACTTGACAATGAGGACTCATAAAAATTCCGGTAAGCGGTAAGAGACGAATCTATCCGCCGGCGTGAAACCTAAACTGAACATCACCTTTCTAATATTCATTTCTCAAAAAGATTCATTTTTTTCCGCTAACCCATTCCCTAAAGCTTGGAACTTTTTTTTTTATCTATGTTGGGGAAGAAGTAAAAGAGAGCGTTCTGTTTCCTTCTTGGCCTTGTCTTTGGCGTCCGTGAGACGTGGACAAAGGATCACCATCAGCCATGAGAACTGTCCACGTAGTCTCTTTTCCCCCTCTTCTATTAGCTTTCTCGTGACGTATTTCTTCATCTCTGGGTTTTGGGGTATTCTGGAGAAACGTCAAAGAGCAACTTTTTGTTGAGAGGGATCACGATTTTGTTAGAAGATGACAAGTGTCAAGAGGGAACTTGACGATGAACTGTCTTCTCCTTGGTTCTACGCCGTTTGTACCATGGGAGGAATGATCAGTGCCGGAACAACACATCTCGCTGTAACCCCTCTTGATGTCCTCAAAGTCAATATGCAGGTTTTGTTACCTTTTCTTGATTTCTTGAAATGGGTCTTGAAGCTAATTTCCTTTTGATGCTAAAAGTCTCTAATCTTGTTTGTTTCTTTTAATGATGTGCAATAGATTTTAGTGTATTTGGTCTTCTCCGTGCTCAAATTGGATCATCATGATTGAACAGTCACTCTCTTTGTAGGTGAATCCTGTGAAGTACAATAGCATCCCCTCAGGTTTCTCCACTCTCTTAAGAGAGCATGGCCATTCCTATCTTTGGAGGGGTTGGTCAGGGAAGCTTTTAGGCTATGGTGTTCAAGGCGGATGCAGATTCGGACTCTATGAGTACTTCAAGACACTCTACAGCAATGTGTTGCCTAACAACAACAGAACTTCCATATATTTTCTTAGTAGTGCTTCTGCTCAGATATTCGCAGATATGGCCTTATGTCCTTTTGAAGCTATAAAAGTTAGAGTTCAGACGCAGCCCATGTTTGCAAAAGGGTTGCTTGATGGGTTTCCGAGAGTATATAGAAATGAAGGTCTTGCTGGGTATGCCCTTTAACTCAAAAAAACGAAAACATTCTGCTTCACTGTTGCTAAGCCCTTTAATCATTTCTCAAAATGCAGCTTCCACAGGGGACTTTTTCCGCTTTGGTGTCGTAATCTTCCATGTAATCTTACTACATCAGTTTGATTTTATTCTAATTTAGGCATTTACAAATACTTGAGCTATGGATGCACATTAGCCTTTTTGTAGAATTGGTTGTGTTCTGTACTAAAAACATACTTGTTGATTTATGTGTTCCTTTCCTATTTGGTTACAGTTTCTATGGTGATGTTCTCAACGTTTGAGCAGTCAGTGGAGTTTATATATCAAAACATTATCCAGAAAAAGAAGCAAGATTGCTCTAAAGCTCAACAACTTGGTGTCACATGTCTTGCTGGCTATACTGCTGGAGCCGTAGGCACACTCATCTCTAACCCTGCCGATGTGGTTGTTTCGTCTCTCTACAACAACAAAGCCAAGAATGTCTTGCAGGTAGGCTCTTAACCATCGTAAACAATTCAATCTTTAAATCCATTTCGCAATTTCACTATCACTCAGAAATTATTCTCGATTGATATGGCTTACTGCTTGAGCTTCAGGCTGTGAGAAACATTGGGTTGGTTGGTCTCTTCACCAGAAGTCTTCCTGTTCGACTCACGATCGTTGGACCTGTCATAACCTTGCAGTGGTTCTTTTACGATGCCATCAAAGTCTTAAGTGGATTGTAAGTAGACATCTCTCCAAATTTCCATATCAGAATCTATAACCATCCTGCTCTCATGTCATCTAACCAGCGAGTATACAACTGTCAATATTATAGCCCTACAAGTGGAGGTGTGAAGAAACCGGTGGATGCTACTAAAGTGTCAGTGTGAAGCTTAGAAGAGTAGATTTATCTCTTTCAACATCAGAATTTGAAACTCAAAAACATATTATGCATTGTGTAAGATTCTCTTACAAGTAGATACTGAGTCTTATGAGCGTTGTGTAGCGGTTGGAATGAGCGTTTTCTTACAAGTAGATACTGAGTCTTGTGAGCGTTGTGTAGCGGTTGGAATGAGCGTTTTCTTATCTGCTTTTTTTTTTCAACCGCTGGATTTGGATTGTCGTAAAGTGCTAATGAATGATATTTTTTTATGTAAACAAAGAGGAAAATGTATACAGTAATCAATATTATTAAATCAAGATCCTTTTTTTGGATTTACCCTCATCTTTCTCCGGAATATTATTTTTCATGCCATTATGGATTTGTCTAATATTTACAAATTCATTAAGAGTAACATAGGAAACAAAAAAAAACAAACTACACTACTATATAGATACGATTTGGAATAAATCACATGGGAATAAATCAATACAATAACTCTATTCTTATTTTACTAATAATAATCTATCATAGGAAATATGTTTTCCTTTCTTTATCTCCTGATCCAATTCATTCATCTCATAACCTTTTAGCTCTGCATTGGAAATATGCAATGAAATTGTCAATATGCCAAATAATAAAACGAAACACACCAAGCAAAACCCAAAGTTAACATTTGATATTGTCAAACAGAAGCAAAATATACAGATATATAGTGAAGCCATTGATAACCTATGAAATTTCGTTTTTTACGTACATCAAATAAGCTAACGATTAAATTATCACCACATCCACATATATACTACCATTAATCTAACGATTAAATTATCACCACATCCACAATCTTACGCATCAAAAAAAAAATGAAAACTTCCCAAGAAATATCTTACCTTTCACAATTGAAACCTCGCAGAAGAGATTGGTGTATTCAAGTCACAACAATCCACACCCGAAAGAAATTCAACACAGCTTTGGTGAATCTCTCGAAATCATCTTTGCTGACGAAAAGGTCATCAAATCATTTCTACTTCTATACTAAATTGCATGAGAGCTTAATGTTAAAGGTTAATTTTGTAGTTATATTATATTTTTATAATGCATGGTGATAAAATCTCCACAACATATAGAGAGAATCAAGCACTCATCAATCAAACACACAGCAATCGTTCCACACTTTTCTTTCCTAACTACCATACTCAGTTCGAATCCTACTTACTGGAAAATTATGTTTTTAAAATTTACTTACTAGCTAATATTTTTCAGACTGTTTCATGTCTCATGACCTTTACGTGAATAAAGCTCTGTCACTACAAGAAAACACGTCCTTTACTAGGACTGGTTTTCCTCGTTATTTCCTAGTAAACGGTCCTTTGCTAAGAAATAACGAGGAAACGCGTTTCGTCGAAAGACGTTCATCGTAAAGCATATTTTCCTCGTAATTTCCTAGTTAATTTACGAGGAAACATTTCCTCGTAAACGCATGGATACGTTTTCCTCGTAAGGTCCACGTAGGCTTTCCTCGTAAGGTCCACGTAGGCTTTCCTCGTAAGCTCATAGTAAACTATTTCCTCGTAATCTCGTAGTAGGATCTTTCCGAGGAACTTGCTAGGAACCTTTATGAGGATTTTGCTTCGAAATAATTTTTTCCTATTTAAAAAAAATATTTATAAATTAAAAATTATATATATTAAAAAAATTAAAAAAACCAAATTATAAATAAAAAATAAATAACAAAATATTTATAAATAACTAAATAATATACAATTAATAAGTTTTAAAATTCATAATATACAATTAAAAACTAAAAAAACTAAAAGGAATGCTGCTCTTGAAATTGGTGTACGAAGTCGTCGTCTCCAATGTTGGATGCCGGTTGTGAATGAGATGGTGGAGGCTGTTGGGGTGGAAGGGCTCCGCTTTCCCGTCTCTGACGCAACATCTCCGCCACTTGCGGGTTTCCAACCGCCATAATGTCGAGGATATTGGTGAGCATACTCACATGAGACTGCGTCGCCTGTAACTCCGTCTGCAGCTGAGCATTGGCATCGTTTTGTTGGTGAACATAAGCCGATGTCACTGCGGGGACATCGTTAACCGAGCCAATCCCGACAATACGGCCCTTTTTCCTAGGGACGACCTGTAAATAAAAATATTAATAACGTAAGAAAAAATTTAAATAAATAATAAAAATTAATATACTAAAACAAATTATTTACCTCCTCGTAAATCTTATCCACTTCAAGAGTGGATAATACGACCGGAGCCCCAGTCTGCTGAGTCAGCTGGGTCTGGCGTTCGTCAACTCGGGCAGCAACCTCGTTGTAGATCCGCTCGGAAGCAGGATCTACAGACTGCCCACTCTTTTTCCGGTGGGTCCGCTCGTAAAGGTCTTTCAGAGATGGAAGAACTCTTGTCTCTTTAGCCTTAATTTTTTTTTAAAAAAATTAAATATTAATTTAGAATATTAGAATATTCATATAAAGTAAAAAATTAAATAGTTATAAAAAATACCATGTCTAGACGAACTCCCTAGTGAGGTTTTCGGCCCGTGGTGTGAAGCATCTTCGTGTTGCCATGCTCGTCTGTGGTCATGCGGTTCTCGGAGTTTGTCTGGGAGGTTCTGATCGAGTCCGGCAACGCCTAATAGCTGATGAGGCCATCCCACACCGTGGTTGTGAGGCAATCGGGTTTCCCGCGCTCGTAACCGTCCACCTGATTTAAAATAATTAGAATTAAAGTCAATTATATATATTTTTAAAATTATACATATATTATAATTTATAAATTTATACTTGAAAGTCGCCCTTCCAATTGTAGACCATGTCTCACAATCGTGCTTTTGCCTTGGCCTCGAACTCTGACTTCACCCGCTCGTGAATCACAATAGACCAACGATATTTTTACTGCAACCAGAAAAAATAAAAGATGGATTAGTTCAATAATATTCATAATTTTAAATGATTAAAAATAAATTAAGTTGATTTACTAAACTTACAGCGAACGATTTGAACCACGTCTTTTTGGTGTGGCTCGCTGTCATTTTCCAGTTTGGAGCTGCATCGGGAAAGTATCCCTTGATACAGTCCGTGATGCTAGATCCGACACAATTGTCAAGACCAAACCTGGAAAGACATAAAATAAATCATTAATTAGAACATACCATAATACTTTTTAAAAACTAATAAAACTTTTTAAAAATTAAAACATACCATAATACGTTTTGCCCGTCCCGTCGGATAGGATCTAACTCTGGCAGTCCTTCTTTGCCTAGAAGGGCCAAAATATCCTCCACCGTGTACACCGCAAATGGTGCGTTTGGCGGCACCTGCAAATCAGGATGAATCCCGACCGGTGGAGGAGGAGTAGGAAGAGGAGGTGGCTGCTGAGACCGGGATGCCGTAGAACCTCCCTGAGTCTCGGGAACTCCCGTAGATGAACCACCGGGAGCTGACGAAGACGAACCGGGCCCGAATAGATCTCCATAATGAATCCCCTGATCAAGAGGCCTCCTGGACTGAGCAGCAGCAACTTTGCTCTTTCTAACCATCTAAATTTAAAAAAAAAAAAACAGAAAACATGAATTCTCGTATAATTTTTAAAAACAGTTAAACTAACCTAATCTAAATTTCCTAATCTAACCAACTAACCTAAATTTCCTAAACTAACCACCTAATCTAAATTCCCTAATCTAACCACCTAATCTAAATTCCCTAATCTAATCACCTAACTAGGAAATAGAGAGTACCTTAAGAGAATTTGGAGAGGAGGTTACTATGAGTGATAAATCGGATTGCTCGTGTATATATAAGGAATTTTGTTTCCTCGTAAATCCTTAGTAATGTTACTAGGGCTTTACGAGGAAACAGCTATGCCCGTGTTTTTATTTCCTCGTAAGGTCCTAGTAACGTCCTAGAAATAACATTACTAGGAATTTACGAGGAAACATCTTTACGAGGAAATAGCTATGCCCGCGTTTTTTTCCTCGTAAAGTCCTAGTAATGCTTACGAGGAAATAGCTATGTCTGTATTTTCTATTACTAGGTCTTTACGAGGAAAGGATTTGTAAATCCCTAAACTCGAAACCCCAAACCCCAAACCACAACTTCCTTAGCTTATAACCTCTTCTACAACTAAACTCCTAACCTCTTCTACACCTAAATCCCAAATTTATTTTTTGTGATTAAACAAGCTTAAAACATACGTAATTCAACTCATTTTTTGTTATTAAGCAAACTTATAAAACATACATAATTGAAATTGGTTTTTGTGATTAAACAAACTTATAAAACATACATAATTCATTCAGATACATTCTCATAATCCGTAGAAGCATCATCATTTTCGGCAAACTCGTCCTCAACACTGTCGTCCGTTGAGTGATCATGGACATCTTCGTATTCACGATTATGCGGATCAATGAGTAGGATGTCATCAATTTCTGCTTCAGGTTCCTCGATTTCATTAGTGTTTTCTTCTTGCAATGGTGGTTCTTCTCCCTCGATTATCCGTCCTCGAGGTGTCACTTTGATAACAGCTAACCAGTTTATTCCCGTTGTAGTAATCTGAGGGTATGGAATGAAGCAAACTTGATCTTCTTGGGAAGCTAATATGAAAGGCTCGAATTTGTTGTACCTGCAAAAATTAAGACAACAGAGAAATTATTAGTTCTCAGAACATGCATGTACGTATGTCAAAAAAGAAGTGTGTATGTTTATATATTTACCTTTCAAAATAAGCAATCAATGGATGCTCGCAATTAAGAAGAATATAAAGGTGTGCACTATGGACGTCTTCATCACTCGACCACCAAACCTCTTTCAATTTCCCACCCAATCGCCCAATTTGACAAAAGATGTCTGGAACATCGTCTTCCATATATGTTGGCACCACACCACCATCATCATATCTTCTTGGAGCTCGTTTCCTTGTACGTACTTTCGGTGCAAAGTAGTACGATGTGAAATGTGATGTTTCTTCCGTCAAACTTCCCGCAACAATAGAACCTTCAACTCTTGCTAGGTTTTTGGCTTTTCCTTTCAAAGTTTTCATGGTCCTTTCATACTGATACATCCATCCATAATGCACAGGTCCACGAAGTAATGCCTCATACGGGAGGTGGACAACTAGGTGTTCCATGACGTCGAAAAAAGTAGGTGGAAATATTTTCTCCAAGTTGCAGATTAAGACAGGGATGTTTTCATGAAGTTGTTGGACAACTTCCACTTTAAGAGTGCGGGTGCTCAGATCCCTAAAAAATGCTCCAATTCCTATATATTTAC